TTTTCCTCTAACACTTTGCAATCGTTTCAATTTCAAAGGGATCGCGAAGCTGGGTCCTCATAATAGGCCAGGATGTGAATTAGAAGCGCGTCACATTCAGACCTGTAGTTATAGGTTTTGCTGATTGTTTTTGTTTTTGATTGGAATAGCATAGACGGGGTATGGGAAGGGAACAGCCGTCGTGAAGCGTGCCATGCAACAAAGATCATCGCGTGCCCCTCTCTGGTCTACGGAATGAGCCCGAACGGGAGAGGTACTAAAACAAAGATCGAGGTCTCTGGAACACCCGATAATCGGCTTTAGAGAGTTCAGTTCAAATGGCAAGAGTTTCTGAAGTTTGATTCTTTTCAGCAAGACGTTCTTCCGAAGGACGATAGTTAGTGAGCAAACGTTTATTTGTCAATACAATGGAAATTGCGACGTCAATAAAAGTGAGCGTTGTTTTCGTACATATACTGTGCATAATTGTGTATAATACTTGCTGTTACCGTAATACTCTCATGTTAAAGCATTGTTGATGTAAAGTGGTAAAAGAACTAGATTGATTCTCTGAAATCAACGGGTAGTTCATTACTTTTGTGTAAGTTACAAAATAGAGGAGCTGTAGTACCCACAGTTTCCCAACATGAATGGGGGGAGGGGGGTTCATTTTTTAAGAAGTTGATTGACAGTAGGCTATGAATGTTCTTTCATGACGGTCTCCTGGTGACCGCCAGTAGCAACCGTTCGCCCCGTCAATAACTGCATCTGTTGAAAGATACTACTGAAAAAGCAGTTCTAATCTCAAAACTTGTAATCCCTTTTGTAGTAACCTCACGATTGAGTTGACACTAAAATTCAATGCCAAGTACCGAGATAAAAAGTGGATATCAGCCAAAAGTAGTTCTTCTGCAAGCGGACAGAACAAGAAAGGAAAAAAACTTTGTTTTCCACAATGACGACGAAAAAGAAACAAAAAAAAACCCTGGAAGGTGTCGTTGCCACCTCGTTGAAAGACTGAAGAACAAGGAAGAAGTGGGGAAGCGGGCGATCCAAACCGTGACGTCCAAGAATAACTTATTTTTGGTGCTCGCCCCTTTATACCTAAAATTTTGCGGGAAATTCCAGCAGCCCGCACATCTGGGTACTGTATATTCGACCCAATTTGATCTCCACTTTGACCAGACCTTCATTATTTTCACAAGCTATCATCCTAGCCACTGAATTTCGAACTGGAGCCAGTTTCAAGAGCTTGTTTTATGCAGAAGGTTCCCCTTTATTACCTTGAAGGTCCAAAATGTCTAAAAATGCAGGGGGATCAGGGAGGAAGTAGGAAATGTAGAGATCAATAATCGTAACAGACGGCGCCTCTACAGGCTATGGCATGGGTACTGCTGACGATTTCGTCGGGAATGGACTTTGATCGAAATTCGTTGATTTACCGTATTCGACTTGCCTCTCATGACCTACCCATTGCGTATTTTTGTCAACAACATGATGTAAACATGTCCACGACGTACATATTTATTTGTCGTAAGGCAATTCTTACTGCAATGATTAGTTTCATTTTGTATGTGTGTGTGAGTTATCAGGTGACCGGTTAAGCGCACAAACAACTAACAATGCTGGGCGCCCGGAGAGAGAGAGGGGGGAGAGGGAGAGCGAGCGAGCGGGAGAGAGTGACGTGACGTCGTCGCACAAACAACGAAAAACTCTGCATTAGGGGATGTCGAGAGAGAGAGAGTGGGAGGACGCAGTCGTGGAAACAATGCAGTGCCACGACAACGTGGCGGGCGGTTAGCAACACACGTGTACACACACACATGCAAATATACACACCAAAGCGCAACACACCATATATCAATATCTCTGTAACTGAGCAAAGATGAAACGGCAGCGGCAAATGGCGGCCTCACCCTATGGGGATCAAATCCCTTACCGAACTACATCTAGACGGCCCTTTTTTCTTCGACGCAATGCTTGACAGTGCAGTATAACTGCAGTGTCAAGTATTGTGTCGAAGAAGAAAACCTCTGAATACGCCTACCCCTTTGGCGTTATGCTTGTTTTTTCAGCTATCCCAAAGATCGAAGGAGTAATTACGATCCCTCTTTGCTGTGTAGAACCCACACTTACCGTCCAGGATTTCTCAGCGCTCGGTCCTGCGAGTTAGAGATGGCGCATCCTCGCGCGGCACTAATCAATAACGAGCGCTCCGTCTTTTAAACAATGCAGCTCAGAGGGGCAACACGTTCTGAACTTTCTCACCAATGTAGAACTAAGCCGCTGATCA